CCGGTGTTCTTGCACGTTTAGCGATGCGCCACACTCGCGTTTTTGGTGTCGGGATCCCAAACGATGCTTCTTGGGCTGTTTAAAGATGCTAGTGTTGGCCCTCCCTTAAATTTACACACATGTATTTGACTGGTGGAATTCTATTGATTTGGACAGTGCTCTGGTTGAAGATTCTCGCCCATGTCAATTTTCTTGTCTCTCCGGTGTTCTTGTACGTTTAGCGATGCGCCACAAGCGCCTTTTTTGTGTCGGGATCCCAAACAATTCTGATTGGGCTTTTCAAAGATTCTAGTTTTGGCCTTCGCTCAAATCTACACACTTGTATTGCACTTGTGGAATTCTATTGATTTGGACAGTGCTTGGGTTGAACATTCTCGCCCATGTCAATTTTTATTTCTCCTACGTATTCTTGTACGTTTAGCGATGCGGCACATTCCCGTTTTTGATAACGGGATACCACACGATGCTTATTTGACCTTTTAGAGATGCCCGTTTTAGCCCTCTCTTAAATTTACACGCGTGTATTTCACTTGTGGAATTCCATTGATTTGGACAGTACTTGGGTTGAAGATTCTCTTCCACGTCAATATTCTTTTCTCCTTCGTATTCTTGCACGTCTAGCGATGCAGCACACTTGCGTCTTTCGTAACGGGATATCACTCGATGCTTATTTAGATATTAGATAGGTAGGTAGGTAGGTAGGTAGGTAGGTAAATAATCTTTATTCATCCACGGTACAAAATTTGTCACCTTTAAAAATACCTAACACTTATATAATGAGAAATATTTAAATAAAAAGCTGCTTTCCACGAATGCCGTGCCTTACAGTTCTTCTTCGAGTAGTCGTTTGAATTGCCCAAGGGACTCTGCTTCTCTTAAGTTACAAGGAAGACTGTTCCAGAGAATGGCGCCACTATAGCTAAAGCTATTTTTGAAATAGTCTGTGCGCGGTAATGGAACATGGAGTTTATTCTCAGAGTCCCTTAGGTCATATGCGATTTCTTGCCTTTAAAATTTAGAACTGAGGTAGTTTGGAGCCAACCCGTGCAGAGACCTTTAAACCATCGTAGCTCTTTGAATTTGCTGCTGGGAAGCTAGATTTTTCCACCCTAGAAGTTTGAACGGATGACCAGGCTGGTATATTTCCCTCCGTCTCCTCCTACCCTTCCTCGCGCTCCCCACACAAGGGACTGACCATGATTCTTTTGAGACAAGGGGTTGGGAAATTCCCGAAAAACATTCCTGCACAGCAAAAACTGATGGAAAACAAAATCGTGTATGCCCATGGGAGCTGGAAATTCGAGCAAGTGCTGTCTACTATCCGAGTCCTGAGTTTAACTTTATAAACATTCTTGCACAAGCTTTTGCCCACCAAAAAAAGTCATGCACAACTTAAAGGTGAGGAAAAAATTATTGCCCCAGAAAATTGTCCACCGCCCCCCGCCCCGCCCCCCGCTCAAAAAATAAAATAATGGTCCGTCCCTAAGTTGATTTTGATAACTCCTGCCCGTGATCCCGCCATGACTGGGGTCATGGCATCAGTCTCGTTATTTCAAGTTATTTTGGCCCCGAACAATGTTTCTATTGCTAAAATAGAAAAACGCAAAAGATATAATAATAAACCATAAAAAACAAGGATGGTTAAGGATCGAGTTAACCCGGATCAAAAACGACGAACTTGAAACACGTGAAATAGCTCCTTTTAAAGCCTGAGAAAGCTTGGGAGCAACCTGCGATAGACTAGCGTCCTATTCAGGGGAAGTAGCAAAGCCCTCACAAAGTTCATGTTGCAGAAATTTAATTGCTAGTGATTTTTTTTTAGTGAATGTAGTGATAATAAAACAAACGCCGACATAAGGAAAACGAACTTCGCTTAAAAAAATGTCTTTTTATTTTACCTACGAATCTCACGATACTCTAAACTCATTTAGTTTGTTTTTCTTAGTCAAAACTATCTCGAAACTGATTATGGAATACAGCGTAAAATTCGAAATATAAATTTTAAAAATTATTGGTCGTGGTTCGCGTTCTCCACACAACGCAGAATTATGTCACTTCACGTTGTTGTTTTACAGAGTACGGTAATTAAATGCACCAAGAATTATAACGCACGTGTACAGCCATTCTGTACTGCTCATTGAACCTTTTGTTTAGCGACGTTCCCGTTGCTGTTGCATTTTCGGTTTTTTTCAACTCCTTAAGGAGAGCGTATAAAGCTCAATCACACATCAGAGATCCATGCTAATACATGTCACCAGTGGCAGCGAGACCGAAAAGGATCGTGGTATACCAAGTAAGACTTGATTTCTATTTACTAAATGGTAACGTATTATTTCTTTTAACAGATCCGCTGCGTTTCCTGGTTGAACCAAACAACAACACGGCTACTGTCGGGGACTCAGTTTGGTTTCACTGTGTCGCCACAGGCAGCCCAAAACCTAGAATCACGTGGCTCAAACATGGTCAAGGCGGGCGACCTCTGGACGAAGAAAAATACAAGGCACACGAGAACGGATCACTTAACATAAGAGACGTGCAGTTAAGCGATGCAGGCAGCTATTTCTGCATAGCTGCAACAAATGTTGACTTGAAGCAGATAACAGTGCACTTGGAAGTGAAAGGTAAACCAGTGTGGTTAAATTGAACTACGAAGGGTTATGAGAATTGACGACCGAACGGACTCAGAAGTTACGTCTTGACTGGAAACCAAATTC